TGTATGTATAAGTATATGATTCTCAGTAAAACTTATTTAAAATTCTGGTCTGCGGCCTTGCAGTATTTATTTTTGTCTATTTCAGAATGAGTATTCGCTTACGAATAGTTTTCTTCTGTTCACAAACAGACCAGAAATATTTCTACAATATATGTTTTCACGATTTTGATTGTGGATTGTGGGCCAATGGGCAGGGGCTGGAGCTGATTCCCTGGCTCCATGTGGATTTGACCTAGAAATGCGTTACCACCCACCGCCCCACACGCACACAGATGCAGGGGCATAACTCATACAGGACGAACTTCGGGATGTTTTCGAGCTCGAAAAATCCAACTCGAACTCGAATCTGGCGTACATGCGCAGTGTGGGAAGGCGGCTTCGCTCGTTCGTCCTTTTTTGTATGGGCATGCCACCCCCTAACAAGGCGCACATTGCCATACATCCTGCGTCCCCAAGGATATCGCGTAATAATTTTCATTAAACGCGCTGCAAGCCTTTGCCTTTGGTCTCCACAGCCCGAAAAACCCTACAACCACATCCGCCAGAAAGAAAGAATGAAAGACAATTTATTGCGGCCAATACGCACTTACATAGACATAATATGTGTGTGTGTGTGTGTATATAACCGGATTTCGCACGCTTTTCTGATTCTGATTCCCTTCCCCGTTTCCTCATCTGCCTCAACATCAAAAAGTTTGACAGAAGTGGAGCGCCATCCACGCTGGGGATGCTACTTCGAACCGGCAGCACATCCAGAACCCCCAGAAAGTCAACGACTTCACTGCAAGCCCTGAGAAGTAGGCAACTTTAAGCATAAACTAACCAATGCATGTGGCCTCATATGCCACATTGTTATTTCTATCTGTTTTTGAAATAATAATGGGGTAAAAGAACCATCAAAACTATATTACATACCAAATTACTCCTACGAATTTAGTAAAAATAAACGTTATTTAAAAATCCCTTTCTTTATAAGCAAAAACTAACCTTAAAATGTAATAATTGATAAGTTTATCAATATACCAAATCATTAAACGCACATGACTTTTAATTGGCTAATAACTAACTGACTGGATTTATTTTAAAAAGTCATTTGAAAATTATTATATAAAATGTTTTAATGATTGACTTCCAGTAAGTAAGTCGAAAATTAAGCGAGGCTTTAGCTATTTAGATTTAAGTATGAATGTTTATAATAAACGTCCTAAGTGTGTTTTTAGATTGCTTCGAAACTGATACACTATTTTTAAATACAAATTCTGCTGATTAGGAACTGATACACCTAACTTCTCTAGATACGCAAGTAAACATTACCTACCTAAATTGTGATTAAAGTAACCCATATTTCGAGTTAATCACTTCTAACTTATTTTTCATTCAGTGCTCTTCTCAAGTCTTATCTAATGCATTTAAGTGAAAATCCGTCATTTGGGATTACGTCATCAAAATAGCCTTTTCCGTTGGGGTTAGGGTGGGAAAAAAGTGTAGAAAAAATAGTAGTGATAATAAAAATAAAACCATGTGCAACATGGCGTATACGCAACGTTGGCATCGGGCAACATCGAGCGGACGAACCCATTGTGGAAAAGTGAAAGTTTATAGTTGGCGCACGTTCATAAAGTTTTGCGTGTTATACAAAAGATTTATTATATCGCATATATCGCTAGCTCCTGCCATTCTTTTTTCCATTTCCCCATCCTGCGCATTCGTCCTTTCCCGTCCCATCCCGATTTCCACCCCACCCACAATTCGCCCCTCTGTTTTGTTTGCCTTTGCCGTTTTATGTTTGGCCTGACTTTTTGGTTTTGTTTGGCCCACAGCAGCGGCGGCTTAAAAGCAATATGGCCTTGGGAGTTTTCGTAATGGAATTAATGTGCCTGTGAAAATTTCAATAGGCGGCGTACGAAAGTTTTTTACAACCAAAGACGAATATGTCTGTGTGTCTGGCAGTGGAAAATGTTGATAAGTTATAAATCTGTTCACTGTTGGCTTTCAAGCAGGCCACATGACATATTTATTGTTGTGCTGAAAGACCCTTTGGCACTTTAGTTGCCCATAAGTTTTGAATGTCAAATGAGCACATGCAAACTATTACTAAATCTGTCATTATTTGAACATTATTTCACAACTTTTGATCCATTTGTAGATATTTGCTCATTGAACTTGCAAATACTGTAAAGAAATCAGATATTAACCCTATTTCAAATGTTTCTTCTCTAAAAATGTTGTCCCATATTTATTTTTGAATTAAACGTAGTGAACTATTTAGGTTCATTCCGAATTCGTATCTTTATACAGAGAAAAATATTCAAGCAAATCGTTCATGAATTGAGAACATTCGTTCTTAAAAATCGTGTTACTACAATTTGTGTTCAATGTTCTCAATTTAAATTGGTTCAAGCTCATTGAAAATATTTTGAACTGAAAAAATGTCGCTCTATTTTTAGAATAATTTTCAACTCAGATGAAAACCTCAGAATTTTCTCTGTGTAGAAGTTCAGAACATAAACGTTATTTTGGGGTCTATAATACTTTTTAGGCATGCTTTAAGTTTTAAATTATTAAACCTTTCATCAATACTCATTTTTATGTAAAAACTTGAACATTTTGGGTGAAATCTATAAGGAAAATGATATTTTTAGAATAGCTGATCTTTGTAGAACATGTATAAATAATGTTTGCTATCTAATAATTTTATAAAGTAGGTCCAAGATGTAATTAGATTGTTTCAGTAACGAATTGAGGCACAAAATATTTTGCAATGCAATTTGTCGTTATGTTCAATTTGTAGATATTATGCAAGTGAAAAGTGAATCCGAAAAACCCAAACATAATCCCTTATACCAGAATACATTGATGAAAGTACATTGTGCACTGTATGTACTTATTTTATATGGGTCTTTCGTTTTGGGATGGGAATTTAGGGGGCGTTCGAAGTTGGAGGCTGGGGACTTGGAAGGCCAGCCAGTGGTTACGGGGTATTGGTCAAGCCTTGAGATTTTACGCAGCTGCGTAAGCTGCGTGGCTGTAGTAAACGATAAACCGTTATTATGTGCCATGTGCCCATGCGAGTGTGTGGGTGCCATGTGTCTGTGTGTGTTTTTGGGGGAGCGTGCGTAGTAGTAAATAGTAAAACGGCGTAGCATACTTCTTTGGGCGCGCAAAACACAAGGACCCCACACACACACACACACGTGTAGCATACCTATACGTGTACAAACTCGAATTTTGATTTATGCTCCTATCAATTGAAACTTTGGGCAATTTATGGGTATTTGGTGAATTTCAACCACGCTTTCGTTAGTTATTTGGCTTTTTGTTTTGCCCATTTTATTGTGCAATCAAAGGGGCAAACTGGCTCTCTCCGACAAGGACTCCCTCTCTTTCTCGTCCTTTTGCTCACTTACTTGATGCTCCGGTGCGCGCCAAATTCGCAATTTCGAATTTCGAAGTCGAGAGTGCGAAAGACTTGACCAAAAACAAAGTGGCCAACTGGCTGAATTTCAGAGTGATTCAGAGTGGCTCAGAGTGCTTCAGTGGTTCAGTGGTTGGTTGTGGGTGGGTGGTGCAGCGAGGTGGTGCAGATTTGCCGACACTTTTTACTACGCGACTTTCGAACTGGAGAAAGCAAAGCGGCGCGAAAACGAGAGGCGCGATTGGAGAGACGAGAGATTTATTTGGCTGCGCGGCTTCGTCTCTTCGGCTTTTTGGCGCTCACAATTATTGCACCACCACCACAGGCACACGTTCACGCACACGTACATACATTATTATACATATACACAGATATCTGTATTGGATTTTTTTTCCAAAGTTTGGATTTTGAAGATATCCTGCGGCGTATACAGAGATTTTCAAACTGGCTTTGCAACACTTAACCAGAAAAACACTTTAAACTTTCTTGTGTGACAAATAATATTGCACTTTGAGTTGGTATTTCTTTCTTTTTTTATCGGTGTTTCGGCTTGCATTGGGCAGAAGTGAATTTTTGTTTGGACGCGGTTTCTGCTCGGAACGCATCCACACTCGCCAATTTCTCGCCACGAACTGAGTGTGCTCTTTGGGGCAAGATAGCAGGCTCTTGGGGCACGATTCCTCGATTTCTCGCTTCCTTGCCATTCGAACTCGTTTCCTCTCAACTTAATTTTGGCCAAGACCGTTGGGGTTGCTTTTCGCCGGCGCTGCCAGATGGGCCGATGGCCACTGTTAACCTCTCCCTCTCTGCTAACGGTGCAGAATGTAATGGATTACAGAGCTATCGATATGAGGGTCAAAGTGCAACCGTTAATTTCAGGCGCCAATAGTTCAAATGCCCTTATACCACTTAGAATTCTGATAAATAATAGAGGATATGTAGATAGGCTAAGACCCCTATTTATTATAAACTTGTTAAATAAAAGGGAACAAATAATTTTATTCTCCAAAGAAATATTAAAACTTTCAATAATTCTTTTTTATTGTTACCTTAGCCAATTTAATTAAGTCCTTAACAAGTTTCAATTAATACGATCGCATTTAAAAAACAAAGTATTGAATTAAACCATTATTAATAAACAAATAACTGTGAAAAATTATTTTTAGTCATTGTTAGGGAATGAAAAGCCCAGGTTTAACCTTGTTCCATTTAAACATAATGATGTTATTGATTTTTTAACGAACTTAAAAAGGTTGTAAAAAAAGAATTATGTTCCAAAATAATATTCGACTGTTATTGAAAAAATATTCCCTTTCTTGGATCTGCGACAGCACGGATTATTATTATTGTAACCCCAATTGTCCCTCATAAGAAAAACACCATAATAATTTCGGTTTTATTTACAAAAATATATATTTATTTACTCATTTAATTCAACTTGTTTTGTAAAGGTTATGATTTTGCGATTGTTTATTTATTGACATCAAATCATGAATATAAGCGTACTTGTGAAATTATTTAAAATCAAATTCATATTTTAAAAATGATTATTGCTTTTAAAAACTACAAATAAAACATAAATAGATTAGATTTTTTTGTTTGCTTTTCTTTTAGTTGCTGTTTTTGTTTGTTTTCTGTTTTAATTCCAGCCTTAATCTTATGAACACTTACATGTTATTTATTCCTAAACTAACGAATAATAATATTTTTCTACTTTGCGTTGTTGCCTTTTGAATGTACATAAAATTGTGTAAGCCATATATAGAATTGTACACTTATATAATAATATATTATATGCGTTTCAGTTACGGTTCATTCTTGTTTTTGTGCGTTTTGTGTTTGTTTTGCTTTATGTACAGGATTTATTTGCTTAGCAAATTATGGCAAATTAGTCTAAATTAAAAAAAATGTTACATTGACGTATATATTCATACATGCACTTGTGTTTATATAGTCTGTTCAATTCATGTGTATAACTCAGATATTCTTCAATTGCCATTTTCTTTGTCACTCCATGTCAGCTATGGACTTGTCTTGTGTTTGTTGATTCATTGTTAGTAGGATTAATTGTCGAATGAAATGCAGTGTTCAGCATTAGTAGATTTAGTTGGATTCCCTCGACTTAAATGCTAATTTTAGTTGGTTAGTCAAGTAATCTGCTCTGGGCCGCCGCTGACCCTCTCATTTTCGTCAGTTTTAATTTTAGTTTTGTTAATTGGGCTCTCGGTGATTGATATTGAATGACTGACTGACTGGTTGACAGCTGGACATGTTTGATTGCGAACCTAGCTTTTTTTTGTGTTTCATTTTTTAGGCGCCAGCAAAGTTTGTGACCATAGCACAACTTTCAGCTGGACTTTGTTTTGCTCCTTTTCAAGAGGTATTAGTCTAATGGTTAATTCAGTTTTGCCTTGTCTGCTATACTTTAGGTGTATAATATATATATATATATATACGTTTGTGTGCTTTATAGATAGTGTACATTTAAAATTATATTTCTGATTTTCTATAAATACACAAAGTTAAATATTAAACTGAGCGAGGAAAATGAATATATATCGCGAGTTGAGAAACAAAAGCGCGTGGAAAATTTCAAATTAAATATGTTTTTAGCATAGGAATTAGGCAACTAATAACTTTTCACTTAACAAAAATAATTTAAATATAAGAAACACTTAACGTAGAGACTGTTTGGGCGGGTGTGGTGAGTGTGAGAGAATGGTTGACCAAGAGCAGGGCGGCCAATCTCTCAGCGATTGCTCCTGCTGCTGCTGCAGCTGGTCGCAGGATTGTTGCTGCTGCTCATGACGCCGTTGCTGCTGGCAGTGGCGGAGCAGGTGGTTGTGGAGGAGATGCCACTTCTGGCCGCCGTCTCATCGCCCTCATCGCCCAGATACTCGTCCGGCTTGTGACTAGAGGCGGGTGGCGTCAGTAGACTCTCGGGGGCGCGCAGCGCGGTGGCCGGGGAGGCCTGAATCCTAGCGCGCATCGCATGCGCCGCATCCTGGGCCATCAGCACTTCGTCCTAAAAGATAAGAATTCAAATAAGTAACTGACTAAAGAAGTATTGATCTTAACATAAGGATATTTCATAATTTTCCCTTATCATATCCAAAAACCTTTAAATTTATATTTTGGCTTTATCACCTTTCAGATACTTACATACATATCCATGGTGGTAGTGTGCGTTTGGATGATGTGCGAGTCGTCGGTGACAATGTTGGGGCAGATGTGGCCCAGGCCGAACTTGTTGCTGACCTGCTCGTTCTGCTCGTTTAGCTGCAGGAAGGCGGCCTTCTGGGAGATCACCCGGAAGAAGGGCTCCATCCAGCGGGCGCAGGGTTGAATCACCTGCCAGTCTAGGCCAGAGCAACGCAAAGCCGCCTCACTAATAAGGAAAAATAACCGGTAAGACATACATTTCGTATGGGAAAGGGTATTCTAGCTAACTTACCGACTAAAAGTATGACTGATGGCGGCCGCTGCCAGCACCGAGTAGGAGTAGTTGGCCATGCCCACGTCCAAGGTGCACAGATCCAGCAGCTGAGAGGTCTGGACAAACTCAAAGCCAGAGAACTGCGGGTAGATAAAGGCATCGTCCGCCTCCGCAGCCTTTTGTCGGCCAATCTGGGAGAACGAGGCCGGGGTGCGATTGTTTACATTCAGCTGCATATAGACACCCAGCCAGCCGGTGATGGTAATGGGGCTGATGTCCCAGTCGAGCGCTTGCAGCAGAATCTTCTCGTGGTTGAGGATGTCCCGCTCTGTGCAGGCGCCATCCGTCACGTAGGCGAACTCCCCGATCTTCGGGGGATAGATCTCCTCCACCTTGGCGGCCACAAATAAACAGGTGATGCCGATCAACTGCAAATGGGTCTTCTGCACCTTGTGCGCCACATGCAAGTAGCGATCCAGATAGTCGACGGCCAGGTAAAAGGTCTCGCGGTGCAACTTGTACACCTCACAGACTTCGATCAACCAGTCCAAGAGAATGGCGCGCATACGTGGCTGCAGACCGGGATGCTGTTCCAGCATGGAGATGCTGCGCAGCCGCGAGTCCTGCTCATCCCGATGGCACATCAGGCGCCAGACATCGGCGGCATTGGCCCAGGCCAGAGCAGGAAGTGGACACATACGCAGGCCGTTCTCCACCGCCGGCGACATGCAGCTAAAGGCCGCCGTGTCGTCCAGAATCTTGTTGGGCGCCTGCATATTGATCAAAAAGTCGCTGACCGGAAGCTGGATCTGCTGCTGGGGCTGTTGGAGGCCAGGAGTTCGCTCGCCATTAACCGCCTGCTGCTGGCTGCAGCCCGAGGAGGCTGGCGAAATGGTGGACGAGTATATCTCCTCCTCGTCGTCCTCTTCCTCGACATCATCCTCCTCATCCTCGTCGTACGAGTAGTCCTCGCAGCTGTCCTCCAAAAGGTCATCGTCATCCGGCTTTTGCGTGACCACGGTGGTTGTGGTGGTGGTGGGCACCACCTGGTCTACACCATAACGTACCACCACGGGTGCCAGCTTGGCACCGCGATCGGGACTCGGCGGACTGTCCGGGCTGTCCGGCAGCGGACTGTGTGGCGCCTCCGGCAGCTCCTCGGCCGGAGAGCTGCGTATACTGAGCAGCTCCTGGGTGCTCTGGCCATCGACCGAGACAATTGGTGACGTGTACACCGAGGAGGCCACCGATGAGAGGTTGCCCTGGTCGCTACCGTACAGAGCGGGCAATCGCTGCTGGCGCTTGGCCGATGGAGGCTCAAAACCGAGTTCGGGGTCCTGAAATATAAAAAAAATATAAAAATGGATTAGTCAATTATCCCAATAAATGAAATAAATCAAGAATACATGAAAATAAAATGTTGGTTTCAGTATTATTTAAAACTACTATTTAAAAGATTTGGAAACTAAGATATTCTATCACCGCAATCCATAAAACACAGGATAAATGTACGCTGATATCAAATATAAATGTATACACAGCATAGGTATGTGTCTAGAATTTTTATATCAACACATTTTAAAAAGTGTTTCAGTGTTTTTTCTGAGTGTTTTTTCCACTCTTCAAATACTACTTAAATATACAAAGAGCAGATATATAAGCAAATATTCTTTACCATTTCAATGAATTTGCGCTTCTGTTCCAACTTCATAATAACATGAACAACCGGATGAAATGGATACTCGAGTCAATGAAAGGAACACACGGGTGGCGGAGTTATAAACGTGCCCCGAATTTAATTAGCCAAGAAATGGTTGGTTAGTAGAATTTTATGTGGGCACGGCTGTCAAAATTCGTAATCCTTGATAGATGGACCGTTGTAGCTTAGCCAAATGCACCCGCACAAAATGAGAGCCAGGAGATAACACAAAAGATCAAGGACTCTGTGTTCGCATGGAGGTAGAACAATAACACTTCGTATGGATTTTCTCGTGGGAACGGGTTCCGGTATCCTTTTTCTTTTTTATCTTTACAACAATATTTTTTGGTATAATCAATACTACTCAATCGTTATTGCACTTTTTGCTTTGATGTTTTTCAATTTAGTAGCAGTCTTTGGGTATAATTTGTTGCTTTGGTTTCTTTGGTATGATTAAACAATTGTGCAAAAAGATTTTTTTTTTTTTGGTTATAACATTTAAAACATTTTTGGCTTCGTTTTGGTTTGTTGTAGTTGTTGTTGGTGGGTGATCTTGGCAAATCCGGTTCTTAAATTAGTTCTTTGCACTCGTTGTGTGTGGTTTTGGTTTCATAAATATTTGTCAGTCTTAACTTTTGCAACTTGACAATGGAATAATTTAGATTTAGATTTTGGTCTCAGTGTCTTTTAGCTGTATGGGTATGTTTTGTTTTGTTTTTTTTTTCTTTCTTGTATTCACTCCGCTCTTGGCTTGATCGAGTACCAATCGCGTTGACGTGCGCTGTGCAACTGAGCTCGACGTTCTCCGTTCCAGATCGCCGATCCCCGAACCCCGATTCCCGATCCCCGATCGTCGTTATCCTGCCCAACGAATGCAACGGCCTCGGAAATAGGGGTTGCTATTCTTTTCCCCCGACAGACTACTCTACTGCAACTCTACAGCGGTAAAAACAGGATCGCTAACCAACCAGCCGTCTCTTTCCATCGGGGGTAGTTCCCGAAGATATCCGTACTTCTTAAGACCACGACGTTGTTGTTTTTGCATTGCATTTTTCGCCTCTGGGTGTTTATCAGCCCAACAACAAATCCCACTGACGGCTGTGGCTCCTGATCCTTTTTACAATTATTTTTGTCAACATTTCTTTGCGTTCAGGTAGACGCAAGACGTTTGGAAAATCACTACCTACACATAACCCTCAAAACAACGATACATAATGGTATATAGGAAGTATATAAATTATTTTTGCTAGTATTATAGCTTTTGGCTCGAGCTGCCAGCGGCTGCATTAAAAATCTCGTGCATCTTGGAGGCTACTCTAATAAATTATCTTTTGGCAATGATCGAAGGGATGGGGCGGTGATAAAGGCAAATGTAGAGCGAGCCTAATGGAACCTCAGCTCAGAGACCAACTCATAAGATTGCAGCATGAAAATGACAAAAAAAAATAGGATAGGAGATTGGAATGGAAACGAAAAACGCAAACAATTGAGATCCTTGACCATTGTTCTCCCGCAGACAGATGATGGAAAACAGAAGCCAAGATCAGAAAGTCCATAAGTAAAAAATTGTATACAACATGGGACACAGATGTCACGCTTGGATTGCTGACATCTTAAAAAATGTTATTAAAATAGGCATTTTAAGCAAAAAATCATTGGCAGCCCAGCTTTTTAAAACCAATTCCACATACATTTTTTTTCATTTTCCTTCTTTAACGCCAAATAATTGTTTTATGGGTTATTACAAAATTGCAATTTTAGATAAACTAACATAATGACTTTTTTTATAACGTAAGCAATAATCTTTATAGCTTAAAGCATTGCACATATGGACATCAATTATATTTAATGTTGCTAAAACTTTAGCCCTACGAACATTGTTGCTATTCTCTCTATTTTAAAAGTTTAGGGTGAAGTTAAATGACCCTCTATTAAATAAAAATGCAAAGATTTAAAGTTAAGATAAAGATAACTGCCCATTAAAGTGAACAATAACTTTATACAAAGAAATACAAAATCCAAGTAATTTCTTATGTATTTCTTAGTTTTATGATTGCAATTGATCCTTGCATTGATTGAATAAAGTTTGCAGGGCCAAATAGGGATTTGAAACGTATCAAATAATGGGTGTATTTCATCAGCTTTCTTAACAGTCAATCTCACACGTCGTAAAAGTTTAACAACATCAACCAACCCTGCTGCCCATTAAAGTTTTTCACATAATTTGTTACGTTAAAATGAGGGAAAAAATTTTGCGATATTTATGTGACATATTTAATTGTCTGAGTAGGTTTGCCTTTCCAGCAGACATACGGATTTGAACTCCTGGAGTCGGGGGTAAATACATATTTTTTTGCGTCAAGACAGGAAGGTCCAAGACGCATGACAAATTTAATTTCTTATTCTTCTGGCCAACAAACTGCAACAACCCTCCCGAGAAGATGATGTAGGTAACCGGGAACGGCAATCGTAGAATGAAATGAAAATGGACATGGATATGGACACATGTCAAGCCATCCAGATGCAATGTAATTAAAATCAAAGCGTGCAATGGCCTAAGAAGCCAGCTCTGCACACAATGGACATTCCTCCAGCCTTATTATTTCACTTCGTTTTCTTTTTTTTTTGGTGCGTGGACATTGCATCTGCCATTTGGAGTTGGTCAAGCGTTAAGAACTCAGAAAGATTATGCACGAAAATTCCCAGTTTACTTTATGACATGACGGATTCCGAGGCGAAAGATCGGCCAAGTGAGTGTGAGAAATTAGTGAGAGCTGGTGAAGTGGGCTGGAATCTGGACCAATTCGGACCGAGAGGGTTGCATCCCAAGTTTAACAAGGGTTAAACTGGGTTGTTGCCCTTAAGCCGCCGCCTCAAGGATTTAGTACCAAAAAGTCCAACGAGGCAGCTGCTGCAATCGTCGTCCTTAGTCCTTCGCCTCGATCTGCTCCTTCAAGCGCAAGAAGCAAACCCACAAGGGGCACCCAAAACATCTCTCGAAATCTCACTGGGAGGGAGTCCATGGGTCGCCAGGGCAGATGATGCAATTCCTCAAGTTCTGGGTACATACAAAAAGCAGTCAAGAAGCGATTCGATTGTTATGCGACAACCTCTGCTGCGTCGTCAACCTCAATATAGTATATCCCGGTGCCCCATTGTGTATGCCCCTGTCTCTCTCTTTCTCTGGGTTTACTTTCCTGCTTTTGCCTACCCTATAAAGTCCTGCGCTTATGTGTCGTAATCTTTCGACGGCCGTCTGTCTGAAAACCGAAACACCTTTAGTTTTCAGACCTTGGCGTGGGTCCAGGTGTAACTTTTTCACCGCTGTTGCCTTGTAATATGCTGCATTGTTGTTTCATTTTATTTTTCTTTTCATTTCTCCCCCAAGTCTTTGGATAACATTTAATTTTTTTCTATGGTCTGTCTGCCGGTAATTGTTAATATTTTTTCAGGACCTCTAGACTGGCACGGCTTAAAGATTAGGTTTTCCTAGAAGTTCAGGATATAGCTTGGCATATTTTTTAATAAGATACTACATTTTTTGTAAGGACAGAAAAAGCTAACAAATTACCTTTCTTCCCCTGAATGATCGTTCAAAATTAGCTCAAGTCCTGTCCACTTTTAGGACATCAGCGCTGCTCTTCTTTTAATAAATGATATGCAAACAACATGCCAGAGGACAAATCCCAGAAGGACCATAACAAACACTCATATTTCCAAGCAATTCAACTGACCATAAAGGGTTAATCCAACACAACACTTTCGCGGTGACTTCCCTGGATTTATCATCGGGGAAATATAAATTTGGGTTGGCCAGGAGGACGGTGAAAATGCTTGGACATGTAATTAATCATGCAATTGGTAAGATCCATGACAAAACGAATTAAAGCATAACCCATTGGTGGAACGGGAGGAGGGTAAGTGGACAAAGGACAAACCGCGAATGAATTTTGAATGCGAAAAATCATTTTGATGAATGTTAGGGAAGATCATTATTCTTCAGGATTTAATGTGTCAACTTTTTCTTGATAGGGCCAGACCTTGAAGGAAGTTTTATGTAATAGTTTCCTAATTTATTTTTTAATATTTTTAGCTATCTTAATTTCTTATAAAGTACCTATATGGATATATCTTTTGCTTTAAAAGTTGAAGAACTTTTAAGAACTCATTTTATGTAATCTAATACTGTTTTAAATAGTTGTCTAATTTTGATGATACATTTAAACTGGTTTCTTATCAGCTGAATCTTGAGTGTCATTAATCTCAAAACAGATCATTGCCCAAGCTTCCCTAACAATTCAGTCCTCATCTCTTGTTTACCTCCAGCTAAATAAAATCCTCTTTAAAATTAAAAAAACTTTGAATTACAAAACAGATGATGCACGATTCCAGAACGGGATGCAATCTGGGAAACTGAAACTTGAATTCAGTTTCCCACAATGTCCCGATACTGACTTGACAGAAATCAAGACCCGCACTTGATTGCATCGAGAAGCAACCCGGACGAAACAAACCCAACTCCCCTTTCGGGACAAAAGAAACAAAGAAGTTTCCCAAAAAAAGCAGGGAACTTTCAGCGATTTCATGCCTGCCATGTAAAAAATAAGAAAAAGGGGTTTACATTACACTGACAAATTGGTAAAATAATACCATAATTTTGATCCTTGTGCCAGCAGCAAAACAAATATTGTATAATATTTCAAGACCGCATTCCGGTGCAGGAGCGTTGTGCGTGTCCCGAGAACAGATGACACAAGCGCTGCACCAAGGAGCCGGGTGATTTGCATAAAAGTTTAACGGAAATCTAATGAGCAGACGTCGCAGGATCCGAAGGCATTTGCATAAGGATAACATGTCCCGAAACGGGGTAGCAAAATGCAACCCGGTTGGAAAGCGTTTTTTCTTTTTATGGGTTGGATCTTCTGCAGAAGCAAATGTCGTCTCGATGAATATTTAATTAGGGAAGTAAAGAAATGGAAAAACTCGGCCCAGTGATCCTTGAAAAGGATAAGGCGTTGCTCAACCCCTCCGTTCGAGCATTCTTGTTTGCGGTTTCGGAGCTCTGTCCCATTCCGGTAGTCGCTCCGATCCCTTACCCATCCCGATTTCGAACTATACCTTCTTGATCTAGTTCCTGCCTCAAGCTAACCTATAACTATCGCAATTTCAAATTCTTCCTACGGCCTTAACGGACATTTGGCCGCCTTGACTTTGGAAAACCCACCCCTGGAGATATCGGACTTGGGCTAAAGGTGTGCGCGCATGCGCAACGACGCCTTCTGTCCTTGGTCTCCGGCTCCTTTGTCCTGCCGTGCATATGCTCAACATTCTGCCAAGACCCCTTCGAAATTCCCTTACTCTACAACGTCCGCCTGAAGGGGGCCTTCCATTTTTTTCCGTTTGAGAATGACATTTGTTTGGCAGGGAAGTAAGTGCAGAAACGTTGCGAAAACAAAAAACAGGAGAGAACCGATGGCAAAAAATACCCAAGGTAGATAGTATGTTTTCGGGAATAGACTGTTAAGATACCCCTGGTAATTTAAATTTACTGAAGAGTTTTCATTTTTTATATGGTTGAGTTTGAGTGAAGAAATTGAGCTACAAAAAGTGAAAATACAAATTTATTTGTATTATTGACCCCCTACGATAAGATAAAAGAAATAAACAAACATATTTTTCTTAAAAACCTACTGTAAGGTTTTGAATATATTACATGGGTTATAATATTTTATATGTTTTTGATATCAGAACTATAAAATATATATGCAGTCAGCTACAAATAAAGACACCCCAAACAGGGTACCAAACTAAGAAACTCGAAAACAATTTCTGCAAGTTCATTGCACGTATAGGAGAATATTCTCTCTATTCCACTCCATATTTCATATGGAACTGGAAAAAATCCTTTGCACCAACACAGCTGCCCAGGAGAAGCCATTGTTCTCCGCCTTGATTGCAGCTACTTGAGCGGAGATCTGACTTCAGGGCTTCCAAGGATGCTGCTAAATGAGCCCTTTCAGTAAGTAGCGTTTATTTTTGGGCTCATCTTTGCATTGTGCCTGCGAAGAAGTGCCAAGTAGCTGTCTACGTGCCCAAAGGCTTATTTGGCTAGAGCTCAAGCAGCAAAAGATCAAATGAAGATCGGCAGCCAAACGACTGGAAGCCACGAAAGGGCTATACATTCAAAATGGAAGTACAAATAAAAGATCGTTTGCCAAACATACGAAAAAGAGAAATCTCTGAAGATCAGTGATCAATGAACACAATTAGGAAACTCTGATCAAATAAATGGGTATACCAATACTTTTAATAAAGTGTTCTTTATCAATTCCTTAGAAAGAGAATAACAAAGACCAGCTGCACGACGAAACAATCTAAAGTGATCTGTTATGATCCTTGAGAATTAAATCCAATTAATGATCCTTGGTCAGTGATCTATAATTATAATAATAATCACACTTTCGTATTTTAAAATAACAGCACAGAATTTTTAGTATAGAACTTAATCTATGAGTTATTAAAGTGACTCTGTAGGTCATGAACATCTCAAACTTTGGGGATCTACAAATCATAAAATTAACAAAATTCTATAACGCTAAAAACTGTTATTTTAATCAATGAAAGTGCATAGAAGGACTGAGGACCCTGAGATCAAATGAACACGAACATTAAATCAATTTCGAATACAAAATTAGAGTGCACGAGCAATTTTGCAAGAAATTAGCTTGATCATCGTTGTCGAAGATCGTTTGGGTCATCGGCATGTGGCTCTTGCTGTCGCTCTTGGCGTTTCCTTGATAAGATTGCAAAAATCAACGAGGTCACATGGCCTGATAAAGCGACTTCATTCATAAAACTTATCTGCCATGTATGGGGGCTTACATTTTAAAAGATTATTACTCACCTTAGCATCTTCGTTTGAGTCGCTGCTTAAACGCCGTTTACGTTTATTGCCATTAGAAGTTGCGGCTGTGGATGTTGCAAGGTTCTGGTTATCACAAGAGCACATCTCGACTGTTTTGGAGGCTGCTGAGGTACCCGGTAGCTCTTCTTCTAGCTGAGTTGCCGACGAAGATGGGCTTGGATTTGGATTTGGGGTTGGGCTAATGCTGCTGCTGATAGTACTACTGCTGCTGACGACGACGACAATGCTGCTGCTGGCTTCTCCGTTGCTGGGGGCGGTTGTGACTATGCTGCCATTTGGCTCAGTGCTGCTGGTAGAACAAACACTGCAAAAGAAAGTAAGTGAAATTAACAGTGGAACTACAGGACCTTAAAACTATATTATTTTTAATAACATTTTTTTTGTAATATATTAAAAATACGCTTGATTGTAAAGTTCCTTTTCAACGATAATAAAGTTATTTGGTTTATAAATACATTTCAAAAAGAAATATTATTATATTATATATAATTATTATAATATTAAATTGATATTGAAACGGATTAAAATTCTATATTATATCATATTTTAAAAAAAGTTTAAATTGATCTATAATTAGAAATGAATATTCAAAGGTTCTTTAAACCAAACAATACATTTTAAAACGTAATCAAATCCACGTAGTCGACCACTGTGCGATTTGCTGGGGATCAGTTATTTCCAATTTCTCCTCTTTTTTCGCAAAATAGAGAAATTCAATATGCCACGGAGGCAAGCAGCAAATCACATAGGGGCGTTCCTAAATAGATACAAACGAAACGAACATAAATTCATTGAATTTTGACACGGCATTCGAATCGCGATGCAAGACTCGAGATTAAGGCGCCCAACGGATACATTAATATTTAACATCCGGGAAATTGAAATCGAGATGACTGATCGAGGGAAATGGAAATGGGATCGCCGCTGTAAGGGCCCCGGGAAAGCCTTTCCTCCTTGAGATTGAGCAATTTTGGCAAATTTGCATGGACATTAGCATAATGCAAGAGGCTGGCAAACAGAAAGAATAGGATTTCCCTCCTTGAGAGCGCAGATGTTAATGTTATATCCCTTTGCCACAACTCTCAAGTGTTGCAGAACAAGCCACTGCACTTTAAGCAATTCGATGCGCGAATTTTTGCAATTTGAGCGAGGGGCAAAAGGAAAAAAAAACGAAATCTAACCCTTGGGACCGTAAACCCTTCCTTCTTAAGGAAGTTGTGAAAGGGGATAACAAAAAAAAGGGCTGCTGCACATAAATTCAAATGCTTTAGCCATTTCTTGCTGGGATTGCAGCCTCCTGTTTTGATCCTGGCCCTGCACTATCGATCGCGTTTAATGGTTTAATGAACAAGAAAAAGTAATCACGTAGTAAATTACGAGGAAATGAAATCGCTTAAAAATGAGTTACGGCGAGAAAGGACTAATGGAGCGTACGTGCAGGCGGCCTTCAAGTTTTTCCCGCTTTCTTTTCTTTCTTTGTGCTCGGGGTTCCCGGGGTCAGAGGTTCTCCGCGGCTTAAGGTTCAAACTGAAATTTGTCATTTCGAGGTGAAAGTTTCCTTTCCTTTTGCGGCGAAGCCAGAAACCTTGTTTCGGTTTCGTTTCCCCCTTTCTTTTTGTCGGTTCGAATCCGTATCCCTGTAGGTAGCAAATGGGTAGGGTGACTATCTTGGTGATGACATGGAGAAATTCTACGAAGTAGTTCCTGGAACATGGTCCAGTGCATAATAAGTGGACTATCGAAGGATCGATCTTTCTCACATGATAAATTATATGAAACTGTGAGGCTGGGATTAGGAATTAGTAATTTATTGCTTTATTTTTGAATCCAGGGAATAGTTATGCTTCGGAATTCATGTAACTATTATACTAATCTATTGACAAATCGTGTTCCTAACTCTTAAGGATAACAGTTGGAATTTTGTTTAAGAAATTTTTGTTGAAGCTATGGTAATGTGCCCTCAAAAGTATGCAACAATCTAAAAATAACCTATAAATACTTAACTTTCCTGACGTTTTTTTTGATAAATTCCGTTATAGATGTCAGCGAAATAGTTTCGCAACACATACCAATAATTATGTCGACCACGAAATATGGCCATAAAATGGACTATCACTTAAGTGATCGCAGTGATCAGTGGGCGATTATGATGATGTTGAATGCCAAAGGGGACGCAACTGACAAAACCAAATGACTAGGCAATTATGCAATTATGGTCATGCGCAGGCACCCACAAGCAAAATATATATGCGACAGGGTGAAAAAACATATTAAACTCAATTAATTTTTGTCCAGGACATGACTGAAAAAGCCACAAAAAGTGTGTGTCTGCTGTGACAGCATTATCAACCCGACCGAACACAAAACCCCCTAAGTGCAACCCTCTGAAGTAACCAAACTGACCTGAACCGTCCCACAACTAAACACTTTTCTAATGACATTTTCGCGCGCAATTATATACTAATCACACGCAGGACCTCGAAAAAGAGTCCTGTAAAGGTATGCAGAGTGTTGAGGAATGCGGCACTTGGTTATCAACGCAGTTTCGACTTTAACACCTACAAAAGCCATCTGTTTTTTTGTTCGCTTTTGGAAATTGACAGTGAAAATGCATTTTAGATTATCGCACTTGAGTCAGAAGGTTGAAACGGCTGCAGGAACAGTAGGATCCCGAGTGGTTATAGCTCCTGCGGGTCCTACTTTCCCGGGGAGTAGTCGGGCATAACCAGTTGGGCTCTGTCACTTTGTAATTACGAAATAGCTATTAGATAAACATCACTTTTGGTTAAGAGAATTAAAGGGAGACGCGCTGCCTACCAGGATAGTTAGTGGTAAAAAGGAAGTCGATCGGATGTCGCCACAGGAAGTCGCTGAGCGTTAGAAACAAATGTTATTGAAGACCGTTGGGGAGTCGCGTTTTGGCTTTCATGTGGGGTGCTAATTAGTTTGGTCAGGGCTGCAGAGGAAATGGAAGTCACGAAAAGTGTTTGATGGGAAAGGAAAATGTCTAAGATCAGAAAAAAGTCAACAAAAAACATGCAGGTTGCTAGAGAACTTAAACATCTTTCAGCTGGTTTAAAACTGGTTGAAAACCTAAATAACTCTGCCTGTAAGAAAAAATTCGTATACCTTTCAAAGCATAAATAAAATGGTAATATACTTCTAAATATAAAATAAATACTTTATTTTCTTTAATTATTTACAAGATATTTTTAATAATAGCATTACCTATTTAAATTTGAAAAAGATTTAGAAATAGTAGTATGTGGAAAAAATATAATATTTGAAATAAAATAAACTTAAAAAGGAAACTTACCTCTTGGCATTTAAACCCATAATTGTACGGCCTTGATAAGCCGTTTATGTTATTTATCCTGAATGTTTTGTAAAGGCTGCTCGTCAAAAGCAGAAATGTTTTGTATAATTTAAATAATTTAAAAGGAACTGCAAGTAAAATAAACAAAAATATAAAAAGATATTAGAAACAATAAATATTAAACAAAATAAAAGAAATAAAATCGTTATTCCACCACTAAAAATCTATGAGCCTAAGATATGGTCATCACATGTGACGTGTTTTCGAGTTTTTACGACTTCACAAAACCTATCAACAGTTAGTCCAGCGCATTATCTGTAGATCCTTGTGGAAAAAAACAACATATGATCCTTGAGAAGAACTAATGCACACACAGCATGTGGTCGAGGAGTTTCCTCGTTTCGAAAACCCCAAACAAATTTGTTTACGTGAGTATTTCTCGAAAAATAATATAAATACACCAACTTTTTGCTTTTAGCAAAAAGAACGTAAAGTAAACATTTTCCAATGGGTCTGAGATATTCAAATTACAGAAACAGAAAGATGGGTAGGAGTTTTTTTTTTTGTGGAGTTGGGTCATCTTAACAGGTAGTCACGGGATGGTCAATTTTTTTATCATAATAGAATTTCCACGAGTCTCAATTAATGCCTTCTGCTGCAGGTTCAGCTTCAGCTGCTCCTCACGAACTTCCTGTACACTTATAAAATCCTTCACAATATCTTAGTTACACATAAAATCATAAAACTTAATTTGACTGCTATCCTGTGTTACTTATGTGTAATATAAAAAACAAATTCCCAGAGATTTTAATAAATTTGTAAAACCCTTTACTTTTCTTTACCCATTGCTGATTTATTGGAGAATTTAATTTTTCGAGTGTACCAATGTCAGGTGCTTCTCATTCGGCGCATGCGCAACGTCCCCATTTTCTAGTGGTTTACAAGGCTTAATTATATCGAGTCGTCTCCTCGATATTTCCCCGATGCACCTGTTGTGGCTAGAGTTGATCGCAGACCTTCTGTTAGAATTGCAGGATGATTTCGATGCAGGGACAGGTGAGTTGAGTGGAGAAGGGGAGCGGCAGCTGTTGATGGACCTACCCCAACTTAAAGGATTCTTACGATGTCTCTGCTCCTGCTGCTGTTGTAACTTCAATTGACTTCCCCTTCGCTAATTGTATCCTGTAGCGTTTCCTTGTTCCCCTGCCCTTCTTTCCTTTCTCCTCCCATAAGCTATTTTCCTTTTTCCGTGTGACATATGGGCCTGGCGTTATATTTGCCACGATTTATGGACCTCCCTTCGGCCTACCATTCAGTTCAGTTCGACACCTTTTCCTACCCCATATGCGAATGCTTTTTAGTCAACGACTTTCTTTCCCTTACTTTCTTATTCTTATGCAACGGGATTCTCCATTTTCCTCACATTTTTTGCCTCTCTTTTCGTTTGCTTTTTCCGGCCTTTTCTTATGCACAATATTTTGCTTTTTTTCAACCATCATTTTCACACTAATTGCGGATATGCCTTCTAATTAATTGGGTTCCCTCGTCTTCCCCGAAGTCCTTTTAGAGCATTTTTACTTTCTCGGCTTTGTCTGGTTTTCAACCCTCCTTGTTCTATTAACGACAAAGAAATTTTGATACATAAAAAAACATAAAACTATGTACCTATCTCTAAACGATCATTTTGTATTTGCTAGTAAAATATATAAGTTTAAATACATAACATTTTCAGTAAGACCAATATCTGAACCCATCACGGCCATCATATAATATCTATAATTCTTGAGAACTTAAAGATAGAATTTCAAAATTTAAAACCTGAATAATGAGAATAATCTTAACTGAAGATCTTATAACCCAATGTAAATCCATTTATAACCAGATTTAAGCAATCCTTTTCGTAAAACAAGGGGGTAATTAAAACAAATGGACTAAAATTAATGTTCCTGACGAGATAATATACAAATCCATGGGATCTTTGAGGCCTCCCCAAGGAGTTGACAGGGGATTCTCGCAAACAAATGACTGTATTATCGCTTAGACGATTCTCCTTGTCCAAATACCAGCGACTAGCATTGGATAGAGCCCTAACTAATTGCAAGGACTGCCCACACGCAGGCTGCAACTTCCTCTAACGAAGATTAAGTGAAGAAGGCTGCTAGTTCGGAAGAAATCCGCGGCGACAGGTAACAAATATGAATAATGCCGCGGATCGAGCAGATAAGCACAGGGGTTTCCTTTTGCTCTCAGTTCCTAATTAAAGGCAATGCTTGAGTGAATCTGTTTACCTGGACGGGGTCCTCCAAGGTCATTTAACTGGAAAACCAGAGTGTAGAAAATAAAGTCGACCGTATTTTCGGCAAATTTAGAGGCCCCTCATCTCAAAATATTTGCTTTGTGCCGAAGATTTCCCACAAGGAAATGGAACCTAGTCTCGAGATACAATATGTAATGCAACTTGAGGCAATGCAAAGAAGAATGCGCAAAATGCGCAAAGGAGAGCGCAAAAAAAAATATATAAATATGTATGTATGTATCTCAGCAAGTATATGCTATATAGAGTAGAGGGAAAACAGGTCTCGAGTTATCCGGGGGCCTCTGGAGACGCCGTCTTCAACTGTCTGGGCCTGCAATTTTTGTGCGTCCTTTTTTGGGCTGCATTTTGGGCTCTGCACATGCGACGAGATACATTCCAGAGATAGTCGAGATAAATGCACAAGTATCTGGGTATCTGGGTATCTGCTGTTGCGTTGTCAATGCCAATGCTGCCTTCTCCTCCTTTTTGTTGTGGTTTGGCTACATCTCTTGCAATTAGTTGGAACTCCAAGGGACGAAAGACTACACTGGTTGGGCAAGCACATATAATGTACTATACCGAATATTTGGATTCTATCTCTTCATGTATATAAAGAAACCTAAATAATTTACTTGAATAATATTAAATTCAATGTTTCTATAATTGTTAAGAAGTTCTATCAACTGAAATCCCTTAAAAAATTCCTACAAAAATCACCTTTATAAGCTTGATTGATTTTTCGAAACATGATCACAGGGATGATTAAAATCTTCTAGCCTTCTAAAAAGTCTATCAATATTAAGTATTATTAATAGCAGGGCCAAATATATCATAGGGATTTTGAAAAATTACAGGGTATATGTCTTCTAAATGATACAGTAATACGGTATCTTTTAATTTTTAACCATTAAAATAACTCTGAAGAACACCTATTTTATCCAATTTTTATATGGTTTGGTGGAAATCCTAATCTTAACTAGCATAATCCCAAATTTCTAATCGAGTTCCTAGCGAAAATACCCAACCTGCCCTTAACTACAGGGTACTGAAGACGAAAACAGGAAAGTCGATCCTCGCCGAGGTCTCTTCTCCTGCGTGCATCAGTATCTGTGTATCTGAGTATCTGTGTGTTCTGGTATCTGAAGAGCGCCGCCTGGGCAAAACGGCGTGTGAAAGTAAAGCCGGGCCAGCCGAAGGAGAACAAATCAAAGTTCCTGAATGAAGCGGCGGCGGCGGCGGCGTTCCAGTTCCAGGAATCGACGGCCTTGAAGTAGCCGTTAGGACATCGAGACGCGCTCAATTGACTATTTAGTTTATATTTAGCAGCGTCTAAAAGGATGCTGCCCACAGCCAGCTCAAGTGGCCTGCGTCCTGTTCTTTGCCGTTCCCCAACTCTTCTGCTGGACTATCCTTTGTTTGTCTGGGAATAACTGGAAACTGTTTATCATTGTTGTTTCTGCCCTTCATACGGCTTCTTCTCCTCCTCATTCCGATTCCGAATCGGATTCTTCTGCTGGAGCGACAAAAATGTATAGACAATAAAGAAAAAAAATCCCCACATACACAATCATATATGCTTCATTTATTTAAGGAGTTAGTATTCACAACTCATCCTTGGATAGCATGTAATATTTGTAAAACATTCCGCACTTGTAATTGAGAAATATTTTTGGTATTTTACCAGGAATTCGGGTTAATATGGGCAGGTGATATGTGTGATTCCTATACCAAGCGTGTAGGATGAGAAAATATTACAAATAACTTTTGGGTTCTCATCTCATCTAGAAATTCTTTTGATGGTCTGCCGCTTTTGAAGGTGGGAAGCACTTGATGAGGAGAAGAATAGAAAAGGTGTTGACTTGGATTTGAATAAGTGATTTAAGGACTATTTAGATTGGGGAAACAAAAGGAGAACTCAATGGCCCTTTGTTAGAAGGCATACATTTTCCAAATATTTAGTCTAAATTTTTAAGATCAAAATTCGGCTGGGATAGTCATTTTCTTGAACAGAGAAGTTTACTTTCAAAGAGGAAATGAAGACCTATAAAATCTATATAAATAAATACGTTTTCCCGAAGTTCTAGACATTTCTAACCCACCATTCAAGAACCGAATTTCGGCCCAATCATGACATAATCCCAAAATTAAGTATACAAAAAGCCACCCCATCAACAATCCACCACCCAGCCCCCCACACACGCCCCGCCACGCCCACTCAACAAGTTTAACGGCGCAGAAAGCAAACACGCAAAAAAGCTCGCCAAAAGAATGCAAAAACACAAAGAAGAAAGTCAAAAATTGCGAAGAAAACAACAACAAAATGAATTGTAGCAGGTAAATGGCAAGAAGAGAAGAGGAGGAAGATAAGTGGAAGGTGAAGAAGGGGAAGAAGGAGGGGAAGCAATAGCCAAAGCACAGAGAAATATCAATGAACTCCATTCTACATACGCGTAGATCGACTTAGTAGGCCATCTCGCTTACTCATGGGTTAAACCCACGTATGTACATATAGTTACTACACAGAAAAAATATAAATTCTAAAGATATTTTTAAGATTTAAAGTTCAGTTTAATCAATTTGTAGATCTATTTTAACTTGGTTTTAGATATATCCCTATCATTATTTAAACTGAAGAATTCTTCCAGTGTTGCTTCATATCCCTTAATATCATTCAAATTTAAATTGATTTCTCTTTTCTTTCGGTGTACCAAAGATTTTTGCGCCACTTTTGACATAATTCATTATGTTTTTCTACTCTTTTTTCCCCATTTTGCTTTGCCCGCTGCTTCGTGTTCGTCAAGTTTTCAAAAGGTTCGAAGTTTTGCGTTGAACTTTTCCCGCCGCCTCTGCCGCGGCCGCAGTCGCCGTCAACGTCGGCAGAGCAGTACTAAAAAGTTTTTGTTTGTTGTTGCTGTTGGGAAGGGGAAAAATAACTTGACTCGCTGTTCTGATTGGAATAAAACGGAAGAGAGCGAGAGAAAGAGAAAAAGAACTTATGGAGCGCATTTCTTCTACGTTTGTGTATTTGTGTGTGTGTGTCATTGGAGGAAGCGTATATAAATGAAATGAGCATGGGGAAAAGAATGGAGAAACACAAAGTGGCGCGAATTAGGCGTTTGGGCTGGCGCAGTTTTGTTTTACCGCCCAAAATCTATGCGAATGGCGGGAAAAGTGCAATTCGGGCGGGAGAAAGATTAGAAAGTTTCCTCAAACTAACGGCTCAAAAGAATGAGCTGCATTTCCTTTTCACCAGCAACGGGAAAACTTAAATCCTCTAAGAACATTGCCAATCAGAAAGCAACGGTTTTTAATCCCACAGCGTGTCAATTTTCTTATAAGAGGACGTTGTATGCGTAGCCAAAAATGCAAAGACACGACGGCAAACGCAGCTATTCTCTCCCACTCTCTCCTTGGCCATCCCACACACACTTGTCACACACCGCACACACGCGTCATATAATTTTTTTTCCACTTAGTTTTCGTTTTTTTCGCCGTTCCTCCAATCAGACCATTGTGCAATTGGTTTGTTACCTTCTAATAAGATGGAAAATGCTGGCTTTTCCCAATGTTTTCACTTGTTTTTCGAGGGAATTGAACGATTTTCGAGAGTTTTTCGTCGTCGTCGTCGTCGTCACACGCCGGCCACGAAAAAACTTCACGAGCAGCAGAGCGGCAGCAGCAGAGTGATCGCTTTGGAACCGAAAAAAAATTGGTGGAACTGGGCACCGAAGGCAGCGACGTTGACCGCGACGCCGACTGCGGCGAGTGTGCAAGAGGAACGCGCCAAAACAAGCTGATCCGAAGCGCCAAAAAATGCAACAAACACACAGGGGGCGACTTTGTTGTACTTGAATGTCTAATGGGGGCGACAGAGACGGGGAGAGCATCTCCCGCGCAAAGAACGGGCTGCGAGAGCGAGACGGGGCGAGATGAAGCCGCTAATGGCAACTTGGCATTTTATTGAATGGAGTCTGCAATTGGAGTCCCTTACAGGCCAGTCAGACTCCAATTGGAGGTTCGACGGCTTCTCAGCTGGGTGGTCGCAAAACAGCTGAGGGGGATGCCAGAAGGGCGGATTTAGAAGTAAATATTGGGAGTCTTAAAAAAATATTATACTGATTTTTGTTCTTTTTCCTAGTTTAACTTTGTTTAGTGACCCTATGACTTATAAATTTAAAGAAAGTCCAAATTGAAATTAAATAAATATTTGTAAAACCGCTTTATACCCAACTAAAAAGCCAAGGAAATTTACATTAGGTTAAGCATATTAAGCAGGTTGTTTTAACGCTTCTTTTTAGATTTTTTAAATCCTTTGATTATATGTATTCATGCCCTTGCAAGGAATTCCAATAAATTGCAAGCCCAAAACATCTGACCGTACGTTCTCGCCGGAGCCAGGTGGCAACGCCGCCCTGAAACCAAACAAACCGCTGCCACTTTGTTGTTGTCATCGATTAACATTTGAGCATTTTTGGCACCAACTTTGCGGGCCTGTAAAACCATTAAAATAAATGAAAACCCTATGGTATTTGCAATCAATTGAAAGCTTAAATCTCAGAGAATCTGATTTTGCAATAACACCGGAAATCCCGTTTGATTTGGTGGAAATAAATTCAATTGAAGTTGGAGATTTCCCGCGCGCGGGAACCCGACGTCGCCGCGCGCTGCTGACAGCGATGACAGCTGCGCGCGCAGAGAGAGAGCGCGCCCAAAGAGTGGGGAGGAGAAGAGAGAGAGCGAAAAACGTCGACGTCGCTGCTCACGTTTTTTTCGTTTTTTTTCACTGGTAGAATGTAGATGAAGAAAAAAAAGGTCTAAAGGAGATCGCTTGAAACGTAGAGTTCACGAACTTTTGGGCCAAGCACCTGCTACCACGAATATTGCCCAGTTGGCCCATATCACTCACCTGCTTTTCGGCAGGATTTGGCCAAATTCTAGCGCAGATTGGACACGAAAAAACACACGCGGACTTGAGTGATGGGGGAAAAAAATTGCACACACCGCCGCACACAAACACACACACATACAGACACTCGGCCAGCCAGCAAGACAGTTTCACCTTCTTTTCCTTTTTTTTTGTTGGTCACCTTTTCACGCCGTTTTCTCGGGCTTCGTTTCGGGCTTTTTCACGGCCAGCTCAACCCCACGCAAGTCAAGGCCAATTCGAAGCGATCCCCGTTGGCCAGCACAAATTCAAGTTAAGCGCAAGCACACTTTTTCGGCCTTTTCAGCGACTCGAAAATAACACAATTATCGGTTCGGTCGGCACTGCGGCGAGATGAGATCGAAATCGAGAGAGGACGATCGGCGTCGGACGGAAAAGGCAAGAGCAAAAAGCCACAGCACTAGTGCATTAAGAGAGCGCAAGGCGCTCTGGCCACACGGCGCGGCGTTGCCACCGCGGCCGATCGCGGGGTTTTTATTGGGCGCGCCATTTGAATGCTCAGCGGGCTACTTCTGTTGTGTTCCATAAATCTGTTTGTCTGCCTCTTTACTTATTTTTATTTGAATCAACATATTTTCTTTTCTCTTTCACTTAACTTATTCGTATTTCAATCAAATTAGAAAATTTTTTTATTTTATACTGGTAATCACGTTTAACATAACCATCAAATATTCTTTTTTTTAGCGCGCTTAATTTTGAATTATATATTTTGTGCAAAAACTTTTATAGTATAAAAGTTTTGTAGCTACTTTTTATTAAAATACGTAATGCATTTTTAATCAACACCCAACATTTGATTCATTTTTCCGTTTATATTTTCAGATTTTACTTTTTTGTGTTTCGTTTTAAGGCGCGTATTTTTAAACACATTTTGACCACATCTTCTTTATTAGGATTTTATAATTTTTGCATTCATTTATTCCGTTTGGAATTCTTTTAACACATTTCCAATACAATAATAAAAGTTTCATATAATTCAGACCCCAACCAAAGACATATTCTCAAAACACAATTTAATCATTCGATTACGCGGCTTGTTTTGAATTTTGGGTTATGATGAGTTTTGTTTTATAATTAATAAATCTATTGGCACTATTTTATTTTTAAAACATAGCACATCATATTCTTCAGAAGCGGGCTTCATCTTTAGTAGTTATATCGAAGAAAACACTTAAGTGTTCACTTTTATTTAAAATCAGTTGATACGCGCTCTTATTTGAATTTTGATCGCCGTGAATTTAATCAGTTTTTTATTTATTTGTATTATGTAGAGGCTTTTATAGTTTATTATGGTTTTATTAACATAATTTAATAAAATCTAAATTCAAATGACGCTTATATGGATTCATTTTCAATTGTAAATTTTAAATTTTTTGGCGGGCAGCCTAAATGATAATTATTTTATTTATTTTTTGATAATTAAATTCGACGATTAAGATTTCATAGTTTATTAGTGTTGGAATATATTTTATTTTTGTAAATAAGTTGATTTCAATTTAAATACTTAAATCTGAAATGAATGCCTTTCTCACCTATTATTTTCGCGGTCTTTTTTTAAATTTGAATATCTAATCAATTTTGGTTAGGAGTCACATTTATTATTTTTATTTATTGTTTAATTTCAGATGTTTTCTTTAAATTTCTCTTTTTATAATTATTTATTTTAAAAATTAGTCACAAATCATTTTTAAATCATCGTGTTTTTGTGCGCACTTTTTAAACTAAAAATAAGGAAGTAAATTTAAATTAAATGGTTGTTCTACCACCTTTTCACGATTTATATTGATTTTACTTACGAAGTAATTAGTATTTATGAACTTTTTTTAAATTTTTAACAAATCACATTGTTTTACTTAAATGTTTGGAAATATATGTTGAGTGGTTTTTTATTTGTGAAGTTCATCTTATTAACTTTATTTTACGTGTGATTTGTTAACCTTAGCTTGCTGTATGTTTTTAGTATACTTTTTTATAAATTTGTATTTAAATTTATCTGCTTGAACTCTTTGTTTGAATGCCAATTGCCACACCTTCTCGAAATGTCTCATTTCTTGGAGGTTCAACCGCTGCCTGGTTTCTTCACCAGCTCGAAAATGCAAATGAAAGAAAGAAGGCGATAATGAACAATTTCGGCGAATTGAGCACACTGGCAAACTGCTTAGGCAGCTTTTCGGCCAAGTAAAAGCCAAAAAAAGAATATCCGCCAAGCGCAGCAGAAAAACCTCTTCTTCAGCAGCGAAGCAATGGCAAGAACCGACAATCCATTCTCAATCTCCTCCTCTGTGTTTTCGTTTCCATATTTATTGCGATTTTTGTTTTGATATTATTAATTTACGTTTCAAACTTAAGAAAAATCACTAAGCGAGCTCGGGGACGATCTTCAGCTTATAGAGGCGACTGCTTGAATCCACGGGCCGCATAATCGGAGGGCGCCGAACGATCGGAGACCTTGGGATAGCCCTCATCTCCTGGCACGCACGCCTTGCGGGAGTGGATCACACGCCATCCGCCCTTGCGGGTCCAGTCCTGGAATGAAAGGTTAAGGAATGGGATTTGAGAACTATTAATTAGCATTTTTCAACATAACATTGCAATTTCTGAACCATACTAAATCAAATCAAATCACTTTCACAGTCGTAATTACACCTACTGATAATGGGAGACTATCTCCCTGATTTGCGCTTTTGGGCGGGTCTCTAAGCTGTACAAATTCGGGATCTGAAGCATTTTTTAAACGATATAAAATTACAAACAAACTTACACCTTTTATAAATCATATAAGTACATGGCCTAAATTAAAAAGCTACATTCTTAAAAATGAAAAATCTTTTAAAAACTACTGTGTATGTTGATAAGTTAATAATATTATGTAGACAAGTACTTATGAAAAAATGTATTATTTCGAGGCAGCGGTCGGCACTCAATGTAATGAGATTGTCTTCCTTTGGGTGAATATTTCCGGAAAATGTGTTTCGTACTGTTTGTGTGGCGGCAGAGACCGAGCAGAGCTAATCCTTATGCCTGCTTTATGATAAGCTGCCGACAGTGGCTTTAAAGGCTTTCAAAAATAGTAGGAAAGTACTTAAATTCCTTCTCTTAAACATATTCTATCATTCTGTTTCCTATCAAAAGCTTTTTTACTGGTTAAGAAGAAAATCAGAAGGACATCTTTTATATCATATGCAGCTATCAACGAGGGTGGTATTGGAAATTCTCCTTTACTAGCCCATACATATCCCTTTCCAGGCCTTTTCCACCTTTTGATCCGTGCAACTAGTTACATAGAAACACCAGAAGCCTGGACAAATCAAATCCTAGACCCATTACTCACATTCTGGTTGTATTTGAAGTAGTAGGCGCCGGCGTAGATTCCGGTGAGGGCGAGCAGAGCCTTTCCGGTCCAGTAGCGCACGGTGAATGCCCGCTGGAAGCCCTGTAATCCGAAATATTGTTACTCCTCTCGCTCAGCATATGATTACATAATACCCATGTTGATAACTCACCAGGACGGGCTCCAAAACGTTGCACACCTTGTCGAGGGGGGCGCGGTAGAAGCGCTTGATGGGATTGTTGAGCTCCAGCTCCAGGGCCGGCACCTTCCGGGGTCCGTGGTGCAGCTCCTGGTCCTTCAGCCACTGCTTCCGCCAGGCGCGCTCCTCGGGCAGCATGCCGATCAGGCGCTCCCGCTCCCGCACCATGCGGCCCGCAATGGCCATCGGCTTCACGCCGCCCGTATCCGAGGCACCACCAACCACCATTTTGCACTGCTTGTTCCTGGATATCTGCGATGGATGCGGAAAACGCCAACAATTGTATAATTTAATTGGACACCGAAAAAACAGCTGTTCGCGTCAGTGTGACCGCACCTGAAAATATACTAGATCTGGCTCGCCTGTGAACCGGAACCGGAACTTGTTCAGGAAAATCTTGATTTTCGGAAAATAATTTATGTTCTTGAGATCCTTAATTGTTGAATAAAAAAGTTAGCTAGTTTATTAAATTATCTTGTCGTTGAACAAATGAACTTTATAATTTCTTTAAACGAATTGACAGAGGTTGCTTTTACGGGGTAAACAAATGTTTTTTGAATTTAAAAAGTCAAAATTAAAAAAATATTAATAAATTTGTCGACAAAATAATACTTTGTCTTAAAAGTCGCAAAATAAATCCTGGAATTGTTACATCCATTTTCGGGAAAACGCCATTACAAGAAAATCGCATTCCATGTATCATGTTTCCACCTTGGAAAGCATGAGATTCATAGATAGCTATGAAATGTTATATCTTAGCTTTCATTGTTCCGATGAGAATGATACTTTGTGTTAGTACTCTTACAACTACAAATATTTTATACCAAACTGCAAAAGAATTTCTATCTCAAGTTATCTCAATATTTTAGTGGATTCGTGTGAATAAATACCCCTAATAAATAGCTAGATACGCCAAAACAGCAGACAGATTGTCTGCACTGAAAACTCTGCACATGTTTTGCGGCGTGTGTTGAATTAACTTGTAAAAATAAGTCAAATAAACGCGTTTTTGGCATGGATATAGACGAGCTGTTCGATTGCTTCGACGAAGTGGCGCCGGATGTGCCGCCACCGGCAGTTAACCAGGAGGAGAAGCCTTCTGGAAGCGGAAGTACAAAGAAGGGTAGCAAACGCCAGGCAAAAGACAAGAACTCGGCGAAATCCTCCAAAGAAGTGAACGCGGAAGACCAGGGAGACGATAATGGGGAACCCACCAAGCGGCTGCGGCAGGAGGAGCCGGAGGATGAGGCGGAGGAGGACGATGGGGATGACGAACCCGTTCGCACTCTCGACTTGGATGACTCCGCTGCCTTGGAGGCCCTGCGCACGAGGATTGTGACCCATCTGTTGGATGCACCCAAATCCTGCACCCACGAGGTGGCCGCCCATCCCGACCAGGAGTACATACCCCTGCAGCCGTTTAGCGGCGTGCCCGCCAAGGAGTACCCCTTCGTGCTGGATCCCTTCCAGCGTCAGGCGATCCTGTGCATCGACAACAGCCAGAGTGTCCTGGTCTCCGCCCACACATCGGCCGGTAAGACCGTGGTGGCGGAGTACGCCATTGCCAAATCGCTGGCCGCCAAGCAGCGGGTTATATACACCACGCCCATCAAGGCGCTGTCCAACCAAAAGTTCCGTGAGTTCACCGACGAGTTCAAGGACGTGGGTCTGGTCACGGGCGACGTGACAATCAATCCCTCGGCCTCCTGTTTGATCATGACCACGGAGATTTTGCGGAACATGCTGTACCGCGGCAGCGAGATCATGCGCGAGGTGGGTTGGGTGGTCTTCGACGAGATCCACTATATGCGCGACAAGGAGCGCGGGGTCGTCTGGGAGGAGACGCTCA